ACTGTAGAAAGGATGTGGACAAACTGACGACAGGGCTGGGGGACATGACTTATGAGAAGAGGCTGAGAGAACTGGGTTTATTTAGTCTAGAGAAGAGGAGACAGAGGGGATTTAAATGTAGCCTTCAAGTACCTGAAGGGGGATTTGAAAGAGGACAGACCTAGACTGTTCTCAGTGGTGGCAGATGACAGAACAAGGAGCAATGGCCTCAAGCTTCATAGTAGGTAGAGTCGGAAGGGACCTGAGCACATCAAGTCCAACCCCCTGCCGTGGCAGGAAAGAGTACTGGGGTCAAACAAACCCAGCTAAGTGATTATCCAGCCTCCTCTTAAAGACCCCCAGGGTAGAAGCAAGGACCACTTCCCTTGGAAGTTGGTTCCAGATCCTAGCCGCCCTGACTGTGAAGTAGCACCTCCTGATATCCAGCCTGAATCTACTCTTGGTCAACTTATGGCCATTATTCCTCGTTACTCCCGGTAGCGCTTAGGGGAACAGAAGCTCTCCCATAGCCTGCTGGTCCCCCTTGGCCAGTTTGTAGACAGCCACCAGATTCCCTCTCAGCCTTCTCTTGTGGAGGCTGAACAGATTCAGGTCCCATAGCCTCCCCTTGTAGGGCCTGCCTTGCTGCCCCCCAATTATGCGAGTTGCCCTCCTCCAGACCCTCTTGATGCTGTCCACATCCCTCTTGAAGTGCGGCACCCAGAACTGGACACAGTACTCCAGCTGCGGCCTGACTAGTGTCACACAGAGTCAGGGTGAATCAGGAACCAGAGCCAAATCAGTGTACATCAGAGCCAGAATTGGAGTCAGAGTATGCCAAAGTCCAGAGCCAGTGTTGTGATATACCAGGTGTCTGAACCAGAATAAAAAGCCAAAGCTGAGATTGGGTCAGAAGTTGCAGCAAAGGAGGTTTAGGTTAGATAGTAGGAAGAATTTTCTCACTAAAAATTGAAGATCACTTCAGACTAGACATAAGGAAAAACTTCTTTACAGGTCAAATGCAGAGAGTTTGGAACAGGCTTCCCCCAGAGGTGGTACAAAGCCTTGGCTGGGATGATTTAGTTGCAGATGCTCTTGCTTTGAGCAGAAGGCTGGACTACATGACTTCCTGAGGTCCCTTCCAACCCTAATTTTCTACCATTCTATGAAATTTCACAGTATTTTTCCTAAACATGCACAATTTGAAAATGGACGCTTAGAACAAAATGCATCCTTAGCCATAATTACAACATTGCCATTAAGATACATTTTTTTTTTTTTAATTGTTTTGGTCGTTACCGATAGCCGATTATTAATCGGCCATAATCGGCCAATACTGATCTGATAGCCAATTTAGAGGAATGCAGCCCAGCAGCTTGGAAGCAGCATCCAGCTGGTATGTCGGGGGTGGGGGATAGATTGAGGCCCCCCACCATGAGGGAGTGAGTGGGGCAGGGGCAGGTGCTGCCCAGTCAGGGCAATGAATGTGACCCCAGGGCTGGAAGCAAGACAGACCCACGGGTGGCTCATCTGAGGAGGGCAATGGGGGTGGGAATGACTCCCCACCACTGTGCGCACTCCTAGGAAAGGCACATGCCCCCCCAGATGTGTGTGCACGGCAAGGGCAGGCTGCCTGCTGCAGGCTTGGACCCAGGGGCTGTGCCAGGTCTTCCTGGTGGGGGTGGGGCTGGGCTCAGGGCAGGCTCAGTTGTGCAGGGCAGGCAGTAGTGGTGCTATGAGGGGGAGCTACAGGGAATTTTGGAGTGGCTATAGCCCCCTGAAACCCCCCTAGCACCATCCCTGCTTGGGGCACTCTGCTCTGCTGCCCTTCCCTTGTGCGGCCAATGTAAGGTCCCGATCTCCATGCGACTGGGAGGCAGTGTCCTGCCAAGCCAGTACATCTTTCTCCAATCCGTGGCCCCCTGCTCCCTAAGATGACTGGGAGCAATTTGCTCCTGGTCAGTGTCTACATATGCACTTTGGCACATTAGTTTAATGCACCCATTTCTTGTACCTTATCTACAAGTACTAGAAAATGGCATGTTAGACTAATCTACTATGCAGTAATTGCTCTGCATGGGTAGATGATGACACTTTACCGCGCAGTAAATTAATCTCATGTAGACACACCCACAGTGAACTACTTGATTCCACTCCACGCAATACTCTGCTGGAAATTCCTCATCAGGTACAAACCCTCACATGAAATAGCTATCTTACAAATAAGTGGGGTGGTCCTATTTTGCCATAGCAGGCTATTTTTGGTAGGGTTGGGGGAAGAAGGCTCCAGCATAAATTCTAATTCTGGTTTTCCTCAAAACAAGATAACCATCCAACTGTTTACTGTACAGGTGACTGACTATGCAAATAACTCTATTCAGCTTTTTTTCTTTATTGATTAATTTAGAATGAATGCATAACAGATAAACACTCATACTATTAGATGTGAACTCCCCCCACCCCCAAACAGCGCTTTACTTTAAGCTTGGCACACCCTTACATCAAGCACAGCACATGCCCAGAACAGGCATTGTGTTAGTTTCACGAGGCGTGCCCAACATCTGTATAGATTGCACACTTCAGCTATTAGATGAAAGCACCAAAAACCACTGCTGAAGGTGCAATTTACACAGACACTGGGGAAATGGGTCAAACTAATGCACTTCTTCTGGTAAAGTGCTGTTTTATTTTTTTCACATCCATCAACAACCACTACGATATTTTTTTTAAACCAATTCTGTTACACAAAACTGCACCAAAATAAAAACCAACTATTTAACCTTATGCCAAGATAAATGGTATTTGCTACAAATGCATGGGATTTGAATATTAACTAACACAATTAAATATAGATGAATTGAGCTGTTAAATTAGGTCATCAAGATACTAAAAATGTAGAAGAACAAATTATATAAAAAGTTGAGAGAAAATTAAAGTCCAAAGCCCAGGAAAATAATAAATTATTTATTTGACACACACAACAGTACAATGGCTCCATTACAAACTATACAGAAGAGATTTTACTATATTTGCTTTTCCACAGCCTACTTCTCCATAAATATGAATATTAAAATAAGAATGCTTCCTTGTCAAGTCTATAAACAGACATAGTAGGTCAACCTCTACTTTTAATCCAAGTTCTTAAATTAGAAATCTGAGCAATAGGAAAAACAGCAAAAACTACTTCTTTTTAGTACACAGTTTAGCAAAAATAAATAAATAAATAAATAAATGGGAGATAACAACAAACAGTTTGTTGCTTCATGTGAAGCAACATCAGTTCACTACACAAGTGATTAGTGCCCAGAGGTGCTTTCAGATGTTCACATCTAGATTCAGCTTGTGTATTTTCTACACAGTATGTCATTAACAACACAGTAGTAGGAGTCTCCAAGTTGTATAGATGATATAAAACCTGATATACAATATGAAAGTCTAAAAATCTCCTACTCTGGAAGCACTTGAAGACCTACAGATACAATAGCACTGGAAATGCTGACTAATTATTTTTTTCTGTGTACATATACTTAAACCAATAGTAGATCTATTCATAAAGAAAAGTTAAGTTAGTGATGAGTTCAGACAGCAGAGGTACTAATTTCCTTTTTCTAATCTGTCTTTGATAAAAGAACATTTGGAAGAGAAGCTTGAACAAGTTAGTAAGGAAGAGAAGCTTTTTTTGTCCTCTCAAGCTTTCTTTGTAGAGAGCACTCAGCCTACTGCTGCTTTCTCAAAAGTAGGTCATGAACTCTGCTAGAGGCCAATGCTGCAATCAGACTAAACTTCAAGAAGCTGGGGGTGGGGGAAAAGAGATCCAGAACATTAGGTTCCTTCGTTGCTGTGCAAAGATCAAATGTAAGTTAACTGTAATTTTAAAGTATTTTGTTTTTTGGTAAATATTGGAAAAACATGTCTGACGCTACGAGCCTCTAGTAGCTCAAGAGAGCTTTCTGACATTTCTAGATTGGCATACAACAGAATTACTTAAAGATATACAGCCCTATATGTGGCTAGTGACAGCAGGAATCAGTTTTCCGCAACAATCTAAGAGTAGACCAAAACAAAAAAAACACTGTGCTGAAAAGCAACACAATTGTTTGTGAAGTTCATTACCACCTTTTTCAAAACTACATCTCTGAAATGACTACCATAAATGTATGTTAAGATTGGCCACAAATTTTCTTTTGCAAACAGAGCATGCACACAAATTTTTAAACAGAAAAAGATCATTCAGTCTTGAAATGACAAGCTCATTACACAGAGCAGACACTTGTGCATGGACAAAGTGTAAGCAGTTCTAAATGCAAGACTATGAACAGATACTGTGTTTGCTCTAGAAGAAACATAGTAATCTGCTTGTGAGAAATTTTGCACAGTAACACAGTAAGTAGTAAATACCACTACAAAATGAAAAAAAAGTAACTAGTTTTGGAATTGTGTTCCTTACCAAGATATATTATACATTATCCTCTGTCATTAGGGCACAGGATATTAAACATTAGGTGTCAGAAACTGAGGTCAGGTTTTTCTTAATGAAAGATATACTTTGGAAGAAACTTTAATTCTTTCAATCCTTTTGTCTTCACTCTGAAATGAGACACTAGGCGTCATAAGTTCTTTTAATCGTGTGCAAGCTTTAGTGCCCTAATGAATCAGGACTTATGAATTGATAGTCTAGATAATGCTGTTATTTCAGCAAACTAAAATAACTTAATAGAAAAACAAATAGAAGTACACCATGCTTATTCTCCTTGACCACTGCAGTTATGTGTATTCATATGAAGTTATGCACGTCAGAGGCATATTTAACACAAGTATTAAATGTAAGAGAACATGGTGTAGAAGATTTTACAATATTTTTAATCAATTTTAGGCTAGAGGAAGAAGAGAGAAAGTAGTAGAAGTTTTACCATGAAGTGAATAATACTGGTAAACTGATCTGAGCCTTCAAGAGGCCAAGAAGTGATATAAATGGAAATACACCACATGGCACCCCCATGTGTTACAAGTTTTCAGCTTACCAGGGTTGTCTTTGGCAACAAGACCTTTGGAAAAGTCACTAGGTGTAGGTGATGTTCTGCTGTCCCTCTTTGCTGCGTCAAGGTTATTACAGTATTCCCATCTCTTCTGCTGAAGCTCCTGAAGCCAGTATGTCATGTCCTGACGAGTAGCAGCCTAGAAAGCAAGAAAGGCAAGAGTACTGAAGAGGCTGACATTCCTGGCAAGCATGCATATAACCTGACTTGTACAAAAGGGAGACAGAGGTGCCCCTGCCATTCTGCTGATTACAATCAAGCAGTTACCACTTCATTTAAAGAAGTGAGTCATGTATCCTTAGTTTTGCCACTCTTGCACCTCCTAAATGCATCAAAATGTTCCCGCCCTGCTATGTTAAGCTTCATAGGGCTGCTTTCTTGACAGCCTCCTACACATTTAAATCTTACCCAAACACCCAGAAGCCGGGGAGGAGGTGAGTGAGTGAGGAGAGGAAGCATTTAGATGCATAGAACAACAACAAATCCAAAAAGGCAGTCTCTACACATACTTGTCTCTTGGTATATGCAGTGTATTTGGCGGAAAGTAGGCAAATATGTACACTGTTGCAGTACATCCCTTCAGTATGAATTAGAATTTGTGGATTACTTTTCTCTTGCTATATGAAGCAACTCCCAGAGCAAGAGGAGGTTAGAAAGCAATTCAATAAAGGCTTAAAACATTTAAATCCATGGAGCCACTTTAATTTACATGAACTGATATCAAATAACCAACCAAAATGAAAAGCTCTTTAAACAGTTTTATCAAAAAAAAAAAAAAAAATCACATGAAAAGGGTTATTTCAGACTCCATGTCAATTAAACGCTTGACCTCATCTGCAAATATCAGTAAGATGCTAATTAGTAGCACCTAAGATAATAGATACTTTTCAACAAGAAAATGTATTTCGCTTAAAATCAAAGATGTACCAAAGGGTTACTTTGCATCATTGCAGGCTAGATGTGAAACTGAAAACAGAAACAAAACACACACCTGCTCTCCTACCTATCCTAACCTGCCACTGTCACTTTCTAGTATGTTTTCTTTGGCTACAGTCTCATTGAAGCTAACCATATCTAGAATTAGCACTGGATAATCTAATTTGATAAATTCAGTCACAGAAAATTAACTTGTGGCATCAGCAAAAACAATAGAGACTTAAAACCTTTGATTTCTGAGTGTACACTATTTTATTTGACTTTATTTCACATCCCACACTGCTTTATCAGTCCCAAATATTAACACTGTGAAACTCAGCTCTATGTACTGTAGATGTGTAATAATTTCTGACTTCAATTAGTTTAAAAACCCATCTTATCTCAAATATTATTTCAATTATGCTTCCAAGCTGTTCAACCAGAATAGCAAAACTTGATTTTACAGATTTCCAATTGCTATGAAAAGGAAGTGTGATGAAAGTTTCCAATACTCCAACTCCTATATTATGTAAACAGGAAGATATGTTTGTAACTGAATTTATAACAGCCATGTTTCCAAACTCTGGAATCTTTATGCTTCTTTCTGGAACAACAAGAAGTTAATCTCCTTGTAGTATTCTCCTTGTAGCTTCTCTTAATTCTCCTCCTCCTCCCTATTTATCTGAAGCTAACCAACAAGAGGGAATTTCCCTGTGCTCATATAAATGGAAGATTTTCAGATGCTTAGATCTGCACATGGCCCTTGTATGTACTGGATAAAATTGCAGAAGAACAAAAATACAAAAACAAAAAGGATGTAAATGCTCTTCTTACCACTTAAATGTTATAATGCAATTGGAAATAGCTGTTATAATACAGTACTTCAGTAATGCAGATTGTTTTGCAATAAGAAATGAATGGAGAATAAGATTAACATTACAGGATGGTAATCAGATTTTCCCAAGAATGATTATATGTGTGAAATGCCAAAAGATATACATAAAGTGAAATGAGAAGAGGAAAAAGAACAAAATCCAGTATCAGAAGATAGGACAATGAAGGCTCAATTTCTTGGCTGCTGTGAAAGAATATCCTACCTAACAGATATTTCCAGTTCCTCATACTAGCCGGAATCTGTTTCATGCATTCTGTTCTTATTCACTCACCAGTTACAGAAAAGAACTTGCCTTGTTAGAAGAAATGGAAGGAAATTGGCTTGAAGAGTAAATGTCAAAAACAGAACACAAGACCAGACTTATCTGCCCATGTAGTCATCGTTGATGGTTTTGGAGAAAACAAAGCAGATGTCTCTTTTTAGATCCAATTTTTCATCATTTCAAGCTAAGTGGCAAGACTCTTGGGCTGTTGTGCCTAGCCATTCTTGCAGAGAATGTATCCCCCTCTATTTCTAGTTCAGAAATTATTTCCTGCTCTCTTTTTATCCAGTGGCAATTTTGAGTTCCTAATGAATCAGAGATGCAAGGTTACCTAACAGACTAGTATTTCCCTTTAAGGTTTTCTGCAGACAGACCTTGTCAGCCAAAATGTTGTAGTCTTGAACTAATGTCAACTGAGTAATCACAGGGCTGCGCATTAGAAAGCTGCTCTTTGTTTAGTTATTTGTCATTCTGTAGCAGCTCATGTCTCACTGCCTCAAGCTTAAGTTATTTACAATGTATTTCTGCCCAGTTTGTTCTGTGATTTGACAAGCTGTTTTCATACCCTGCCATGCTATCCCACACTTGCTGCCTAAAAAGTGGCAAGCTGTTTTTAATCCAATGCCCCTGTTTTGTTTTCTTTTGTTTTTTTTAAAGACATGGCTGTACCTGATCTCCTCCATGGATTCAACCCAATGGGGAATATATTGTTGCATCCACAGGCAGCAAGAGATTGGACCTTGCTTTTGTGGTCCTACAATATAAAAGTCATTTTTCTCTGCCACCTGTCAGTAGGGTTGTGTGAAGCTTCAGTCCCTGACTTGATTAAGCTGAGATTCAGCCCGATTAGGTGTCCAAATCTCTGAATCTGAATTGAATCAGAGGACCCTTTAATTTCTCCAAATAGAACTGGAACCCCCTGAATCAATTCAGAGAGATTCAGACATAGACACAGCTTTAAATGTTTTTGCTATATACCTCTAGGTAGAAGGCGGCTCATGATTGCCGCGATGCTGGGACACAAAGGGCATCCCACAGGAGCGCAGGGGGCTCCCCAGCATGCTTGGCAGCAGTCCCAGAAGTGGACCAGAAACATTTCTGGTCCAATTCCGTGTCCACTGGGGAGTGAAAAGGGGGGGCCCCCCCGCACTCCCCCGGCTCGGCGACTGGTGCCTCCTGGGTCTGGAGTGGAGTCTGGACCCCACCGCTTATTCCCCAGTGGACCTGGAAGTGGACTGAAAGTACTTCCGGTCCACTTCCGGGTTCACTGTTGAGCATGTGGAGGGCCCCCCCCACACTCCTGTGGGATGCTCCACGTGCCCCAGCATCACAGCATTCATGAGCTGTGCATATGTAGATGTCATACGTCATACACAGGACATCACTCTACATCTCAAGGTATGTAGAAAAAAACATTTAAAGCTGTGTCCGTCTCTGAATCAGCATCGAATCTTCAGATTTGGATTCAGCCAAACTGAATCAGGGACAGTGATTCAAATCAATGAATCGAATCACTGTACCTGATTCGGGTTGAATCTGAATCAAATAGGACTCGCTTCACACACCCTACCTGTCAGTACTACTGTTGACATCTATTACTTTTCTTTCCTTCACCCACACAATCTTTTCTTTTATGCTTGTTTTAAACTTCCTCCAATCTGTTTAATTGGTATGTGGCTCTTATAATTGTGTTTTACTATATTTTACTTGCTTAACTTACAAAAAAGAAGTACTTATTTTAAAAAAGTATTTAGTTACCTAACCTGAAAAATCAAGGCTGAAAAATCCACTTGCTACATGAGAGCTGTCATTAAAAGTGAAGCTGATACAAACTTTAAAACAAGATCTTCACAACTGAAGAGATTCACTAACAGCATGAAGAAGAGTGAGCATCCTAAAGGTGTTAGGAAAGCAGAGAACGTGCAAGTTGCAAATTGTAGCATTGTGAAAATGCAGTGTGCAAGACAGCATAGAATAAGTCTAAATAGAGTTATATTGTGTATAAGCAACTAAGAAAGAATCATTTTCAATGTGCAGGGCCATTCCAGAGAGCAGTGCAGTATGCGCCAAGTGAGGGAAAATAGACTTTTCCATTTGATGAATGCACATTTAACCAGGATGGGAACTAATTTAAATCATAGACAACAGATATCTCCATGTCACAAGGGACAGTGCCAGAATTTACTTTTATGC